TAGTTGCACACTTAGGAAATTGTGGTTTTTTGGGCAAAGGTGAAATATACAGGTCTGCCCTGAGGAACTTAGAGTTGTGCAAAATGAAAATGGGTCACGAGGCAATAAATATGCTTATTGTGGCAATGTGTTTTTGCCTTTAGTGCCACAGGAGCCTTGGAAAGGTAGAAACTTATTCATCTTCCTGAGAAAGGACTTACCGAAGGATAATGTACAGGAAAACGTGCCAAACCGAATTGTTTCTAAATACCTGCTCCCAACGCTCACTGGACCACATGTCACAACTTGGACTCCATGCAGTTGTAGGTGACACTTCTTTTCTCTCTTTCTTTCTTTCTTTCTTCCTTTCTTTTCTTTTTTTTTTCTTTTTCTTTTTTTTTTTTTTCAGAGCTGAGGACTGAACCCAGGGCCTTGCACTTGCTAGGCAAGCAGTCTACCACTGAGTTAAATCCCCAACACCCCCCCCCCCTTTTTTTTTTTTTTTTTGTTTTTCGAGACAGGATTTCTCTGTGTAGCTTTGGTGCCTGTCCTGGATCTTACTCTGTAGACCAGGCTGGCCTTGAACTCACAGAGATCCACCTGGCTCTGCCTCCTGAGTGCTGGGATTAAAGGCTTGTGCTGTAGGTGACATTTCTAACAGCTTTGCTTTTCCAAATCTCACACACACACACACACACACACACACACACACACACACACACACACACACACACACACACACGGAGGGAGAGAGAGAGAGAGAGAGAGAGAGAGAGAGAGAGAGAGATTGTGACAGGGTTTAGCCTAGGCAGTTTCAAACTCACTATGAAGCTGAATATGACCTTGAACTCCTGACCTTCTAGCTTCCACTTCCCAAGTGCTAGGATTAGCTAATTTGCTGTATTAAAAAATGTTCTTGGGCCTGAAGAAATGACTCAGTAGTTAAGAGTACGCACTGCTCTTGCAGAGGATCCAAAAATTTTATTTTGGGGTCCCTGAAGCAAAAAGCAGATATGCTCTTCTCCAGACTGTTTTTTTCAATTATTAGTTTGTTTTGTTGTTGGTTGTTTGTTTTGAGACAAGGTCTCATTATGTAGCCTTGGCTAGACTGGAGATCTTCCTCCCGAGTGTTGGAATTAAGGGTGCAAGCCATACCACCGTACCCCACTAGACAAGCACTCTTTACTTGGGTTCTGGGGATCCCAACTCAGGCCCTCAAGCTAGCAAGGCAAACACTGTCACCTAGCTGACTCCCCACTCCTGAGTCTGATTTCTGCAAAGATGTGGGGACATCAATTATCTATTGTTCATGGCTTGAGAGGTCTTCCTTACTTTTATATTGAAGAAAAGATTTTCAGGGTCTGGAGAAGCAGTGGCTCAGCAGTGAAGATCATGTTGGAGCTTGCAGAGGACCTGAGTCTGGTTTCCAGCACCCATGTTGGGCAGCTCACAAATGGCTCTGGCATCCCTGGTCACCAACACTCACACACACACACACACACACACACACACACACACACACACACACACTTAACAACAGAAAAATTAATTTTTAAATAAGAATAAGCTGGGTGTGGTGGCAAACACCCTGCCTAAGACAGGGTCTTACAGGATAGCAACAGGCTGGACCCAAATCCATGATCCTTCTGCCTGTGCCTCGACAGGCTTGAGATTGCTGGTGTGCACCGCCACAGTTGGCAGAGCTTGAGATTTCTTGACATGCCAAGCCCTACTCCTCAAGGTGCAAAAAGACTCATCAGTCACAGTTTCCAAGAAACAGCTTTAAAAAAAAAGAATTTCCTTTTCCTTTTCTTTCAACTGTTGTGTTCAGCTCTGAAGCAACCTGCTCTGGGGTTCCTTGGGGCTAATGGGTTTTAGGTCACATCAGCTTGAAAGATGAAATTCTTTTTTTTCCAAGGGGAGGTTTCAGCTTGACTCGGAGAGTCTGCTCTAAGCCTCCTCACTTGGAGCAGGCCCTGGATTTGCACTCTGGTATCTCTTGCCCTGTGTGGTTGACAAATCGAAATTCCCAGTTTCAGTATTTGTCAAGGCTCTATGTCATAAGTGGCTTTGGTGCGCCAGTATATGGGTCTTCTCGTTAACTATCTGGTTTCTAGTCTTCTCTCAATAACTGCCCTGGACATTCCTTACACTTTAAAGCATTTCTGTGTTCATAAGAATATTATAGTCGGGTGATGGTGGCACACGCCTTTAATCCCAGCACTCGGGAGGCAGAACCAGGAGGATCTCTGTGAGTCTGAGGCCAGCCTGGTCTACAGAGCGAGATCCAGGACAGGCACCAAAACTACACAGAGAAACCCTGTCTCTAAAAACAAAAAACAAACAAAAGAATATTTTATATATAGGCATATATATACAATATGTATAATATATTACAATTAGTTATATTAGCTATTTATTAACAGAAATACCTGAAGATTTACCCATGCTATGACCATATCAGCCAGTGGTCTTGGTGTGTGGGCCTTGGACATAAAAGGACCAGAAGTGACCCAGTATTGTATGGGTCTCAATCTTCATCAGGTGTCCAGGTTCTTGACAGACACTGGCCAGAGCCTGGCTAGATTCCTTTCTGCCCATTTTTCTCATGTTCAAGTCAGGGTCTTGATCTGGTGTGAGTTCTGCATGGCTGTGATCACGTGTTCCATGTATCATCAGTGAGATCTCCAGGACTCCACACCATCTGAGCATAGTTTTGCTCCTCACCCTTCATGTCAATAATGGCAAAGGCCAAGCCCTGCTTATCAGTGTTGCTGTTGAGTACTACCAAAGTGTGATGGAACTTCTCAGAAATCACTGGAGACTCGCTCACCAACTAGAAGACATTTATTCTCAACATTAACGAAGGCAGCAGGAGTGTGCAGGCCTCCTGTGGAGGAGTAGAGGACCTTTCTACAACACAATCACTGTATACATATGATGTGCATACATGTATGTGCATTTGAATTCATGTGGCTGAACACGTGTGCACATGTATCCGTATGGGTGTGGAAGCCAGAAGGCAATCGCTGGTGTCATTTCTCAGGAGCTGTCTACCTTGGCTTTTTGAGACTGTTTGCTCATAGGGACCTGAGGCCCACCAATTAAGCTAGGTTGGCTGGCCAGTGAGTTCCAGGGATCTACCTGTCTCTGCCTTCCCAGCACTGGGATTACAAGCTCACACCACTACACCCAGCTTTTTCCTTGGGTTCGGGGGACTGAATTCAGGGTCTCACGTTTGGATAGCGGGTACTTTACTGACCAAGCTGTCTCTGAGGCCTCTCCCCACCCTTTTGGGACAGGATCTCATGTGTCTCTAGCTGGCCTTGAACACACTATGTATGTAACTGAGAATAACCTTGAACCTCTGAGCTGCCTTTGTCACCTCGCTCATCCTGGGATTACAGGTGTCTGCCACCACAGACAGCTGATGAGGTGCTGGAGATCAAGCTGGGAGCTTCTTGCAAGCTAGACAACCAACACTCTACCAACTGAGCTACATCCCTAGCCTAGAGACACTGTTCACTAATGAACTATTCTTAGAGGACTGACTGAATAAACTAGTTGATCAATACAAAAGAAAGAAACAAAGACCCAATTTTGGTGATGGAACAGGTTCAACACAATTCACTTCCTCTACTGACCTCTGATACTACCTTCTGATACTAGCCCAGGCATTATCACAAGTAAATATCACATGTCCTGAGTACCAGGGAACAATCACTCAAATACAGCCACCACTCAGTGTGCGACTGTTAGCTAATGACCTTTATACACAGTAACATTATATGTAAATGTCACTCATCAATGTTCTAGGGGTGACAGTTTAATATTTTACTGCTTCTGGAAACTTATGTTGGAGTTACAGCAGAAAACTAGACAAACAGCTTTCTGACCCCAGGAAAGTAACAAACAGTCCATGTGATGATGGACATTGAGTAAGTAGCAACAATCACAAAGTGTGAAGAGTTCTATAAAAGAAAAAAAAAAGCAAACAAAACAACAGAAAACCTGTGCTGTGTGCTGGGCATGGTGGTCCACGCCTTTAATCCCAGCACTCTGAAGGCCGAGGCAGGAGTTCGAAGCCAGCCTGGTCTACAAAGTGAGTTCCAGGACAGCCAGAGTTACACAGAGAAACCCTGTCTCGAATAACAAAAATAAAAAAAGATAAACAACAACAACAAAAACCTGGGCTAATAAGTCAGCTGTGAGCAGTGCTACTGTCTGTGGGATATCCTGCAGGGCTTCCCTTATTAGGTGGTACCTGAGCCAACTGAGAGGAAGTCAGCCATAGAAAATACAGGGGCAATGAATTTCAACGGGGAAATAGCAGGTGCAACTCCTTTGAAGCAGAAGGGTTCTTGGGATACTCAAGGTATGGAACTAAGCCATTAAGTTGGAGAAAAAAGGAGAATGTGGGACGAGAGGCAAGGGCCAGCACACACTACATACACCTGCTCCTGGGGACCCTAAGAAAGAGTTTGTATTTTAAAAATAAATAAGAAAACAGGTATGGTAGCTCAGGCCTGCAATCCCAGCACGTGGGCGGTAGCAGGAGGGGGCGGCGGGGGTGGTGGTGTTAGAGTTCAAAGGCCAGCCTGGGCTAAATGAAGTACTGTCTCAAAACACCAAACAATGAGTGACATGTGATTTATGCTCTGGGAAGTTAGTTGCGATATCTGCTAGGCAGTCGAAAGTGTCACGTGTGAAGTAATACCAACGTCACCTCCCAAAAGTCACCCGTTTCAACTGGAAAGGCAACACACCCCGCCTAAGCCCCACAATGAACCAAACTTCTCCCTAAGAAAAGTGCCTTCTGATTGGGCGACTCCTGCGTGAGACCTTCCGAGTCACGGTGATTGGTTACCAACTCTCCTGTCTCTTCCAATCAGACAGCAATTCCGAAAAGTGAGAGCGACCCAGCCCCTTGCAGACCAGTGCGCTCTGTGACTGGCTCTCTTGTATGAGTGACGGCAGACTCAGCCTATAGTATGATACAACGACGGGGGCGGTGCTCCCCAATGCAGTGGGCTCTGCGGCCAGAACCCAGGGCTGTCATTACGCGTCCAGCCGGGTCCCTCGATCGTCCTCCGGTGCTATGGCCGCCCCGCCGCAGCTGCGGGCTCTTCTCCAGACTGTCAACACGCTGCTGCGCAAGCGCCGCTACCACGCTGTGTTGGCCATACTTAAGGGCTTCCGGAACGGGGCTGTGTGAGTGGGGCCGCGGAGTCTGGTCAGGGCTGAGGGATGACGGGCCTAGCGGGGATCGCGAGTTCGAGGCCCCGTGTCACCTCGCTGTACGCTCTCTAGGAGCTCTTGGGTTTGATTTCGGTGCCCGGTTGGTGCAGGAGGCGTAGGATTCTGGGTTCCTGTCACCATGTCAGCCCTGGGCTGGGGCTCCTCCGTCCCTCTTCTATGTCCTCTGTACTTTACAACCTGGTACTCTTGACTTAGTTGCCTCCTATGCCAGCACCCGTGTCTCCTCATCTGGATCCAGTTCACCTCATCTTGCCGTATGCCCTTTGCCCCATTTGGCTTTGGTGGCTCTGTATGCACAAAAGAAACTGGACTCTGTCCTTTAGCAAGCGGGTGGTCACCTACTGCCTAGTAGGTTCCCCCTATTAAGCTGCCAACAGGTTCATATCCTGTTTCTCATCTATATGACTTCACCTCAGCCTTCATTTTCACTGGGGACCCGTGGGTAGTGACAGTGAATGTAAGAAAAGGCAGCTAATATTTCCTAGGCAGATTGATCTCACCTCCCTCATACAGGGAGCAGAGGGGGTCTTGGGGTCATTTTGCTGGACTGGTGCCTGGAGAGCAGCTCCCCCCTCTTTAACCCTCATGCTTTAGCAGTTATTGAGGGGCTGCTATGCCAGAACTAGCAATGACTCAGAGAAGAAACCAAAGTCCCTAAAGTTGGCATCCTGGCAGCAGTGTGTGTGGCATGGTTGTTGAGTGTGTGAACTGCCAAGATTTAGAACCTGGTGTCATCTACCTTGATCTAGATCTTGAACAAGCCATTTAGCCTTTCTGAGCCTCACTTTCTAGAACATGGGTCCTCCAGAGCACTTCTGTTTGTTCGAGGACGCATTAGTAGCTGGTGTGTGTCTGCACAAGTGATGGCTGTTGTTATAGGCACATGCTGTCTGCCTGGCTCACTAACCCTTTCAGACCTCTGCTTAAGTGTTACCTCCCCACTGAGGCTGTCTCCAAACTTTTCACTCTGTTCCCTACCTTTTTTCTGGGTAGTACTTGTCATCAACAGACACAGAATAATCTTGTTTCATAGTCCATGTCTCTCACTAGAAAGTGTGCTTCGTCAGCCTGGGGTGCTGTACACCCCTCTATTCCCAGTACTTGGGATGCTGGGACAGGAGGATTATTGTGAGTTCGAGGTTGACTTGTGTTAAATAGTTTATTCCAGATCATCCTGGGCTGGAGTGTGAGACCCTCTCTCAACAGCAATGACAAAATGTGCTTACAGGAATATGCATTTTTACCTATATTGTCCCTGTATGTATCCTGGTTCTCCCTCTATTATAGGCATTCAAATTTTACTTAGATGAGTATTTGAAAACTAGGAATTACTCTTGTCTCTGCCTTCTAGATGAGTCGGTAACGACTAGGGAAGGCATGCCGATTGTCCCTGCTCATATCAAGTTAGAGTTACAGTCAGGATTCAGACTCAGAATGGACATTCAGTCAGGTAGAAACTGCTTCCTGCTGGATCTGACCAGATCATATCAGCCACTCTTTGACCAGGATGAGATGAACCCTGACCGGGATGGGATAACATCAGTAGCCCCTTTGCCAGGTATGCACTGGACAAAGCAAGAGCTGGCCTGTGTGCCAGCAAGCATTGCCCAATATGGGCTTTGTACACCTGCCCCTGCTCTGCCTCTCTCTGTGCCCTCTGCAGTGGACCTTCCCAGTCAGGACAGACATTTTTCTAGGGCCAGGCATTTGTGTTCTAACCCCAATGCTTTCACAAACTGAATAGTTCTTTGTCTCTTCTATTCTTGGTTTTCTCCTCTGTAAAATTAAAACTGTAAACTCAGCCATTCCCAAGTCTCCAAGGCAGGGACCTCCTTACTTACTAATGGCACTGACCCTGCGCCCATCTGTGAGGACCACAAGTCCAAGGGGGAAGTCCCACCAACTATGGCAGGGCTGAGCATGGCAGCACACACTTGTAGTCACAGCACTTAAGAGGCAAGTGGGTTGGGAGTCTGAGACTAGCCTGGGCTGACTAGCAAGACTCTGTAACCAAAACAAAAACCAAAACCAAATACCACACCAGTGCAAAGTAGTATTCAGGCATGCTTTTCAGATGGAATGATGGTGATAGTCTGAAGGCCAAGTTAGAGTTTTCCAGGAAGAAAAGAGCATCCTGGGCATGGAAATTTATTCAACAAAGGCCTGGAGATAGGGGGAAAATGTGCTGTGTTTGTGAAGAGAGGTCATTAGTTTAGAGAGGTTAACATGGGTCACTGAGATGTTTGAACTTTGTGAACATTTAACTCACCCCTAAGGGTTTTACTTGAGTGTGTGAGCACACACACGGATGTACTCATGCCCACGTGTGCCAGCACTTGTGCAGATCCAAGGACAATCTCACTGTCGTGCCTTAGACACCTTCCTTCCACTTTTTGTTTGAGAAGGGCCTCGCTAGCCTGGAAGTTCACCAGGCAGGCTGGACTAACTGGCCATCAAGCTCCAGGAATCCGCCTGTTTCTGCCTCCTATCTTACCGTTTCTCGGAATACAGGTGCCCACCACCATGCCTTGCTTTTTACATGGGTTCCAGGGATCCAGATTCAGGTTCTCAGACTTACAAGGCAAACCCTGTACTGACTAAGACATCTTTCTAGCCCCATTTTAATTAAAAAAAAAAAAAAAAGTAGGGAGGTCTCACTGTGTATCTTAGGTTGGCCTCAAATTCAAGCTAATCCTGTCTCAGCCACCCAATTTCTGAGATTACAGTTGTGATGTAACAAGTCTCATCCATACTTGAGGAGTCTGAGAAAGGGCTTGGCAGATGTAGGGACTTGAGGACAGTCTGCCTGTGTCTAGGATGAAGGGAAGGCCCTGGCTGACTGGAGGACCCTGAAGGCCTCTCTATGCAGGAGAAGGAGATAAGGTTCTGGAGGTGCTGGGGGCAGAAAGACCACAGAGACTGAGCTGGGAACTGCCTGACCATTGCCAGGCAGAGGAGAAGATAAGGACGGTGGTAGAGCGCACACTTAGCATACAAGAGGCCCCAAGTTCCACCCCCAGCTCTAGAATGAAGTGGCACAAATGCCCTCTGTCGTCAGTCCCCCCCCCCCTGTGGAGACAGTCCCCTACGAACCTCTTATGTCTTCTTCCAGACTGTCGTACGCACACACAAACAAATGCATCTTTAATGGTTTCCCTTTGGAACAGTGTTGGACTTACAGAACAAGTCCTCACTTACACTTTCTGCTTCCCTGCCCACACTTTCCACCTTGTGCTTTGAAATCCCACAGACTCGGCCCCAGAGCCAGCAGGCGTTTCCAATGAGGACTTTGTACATCCTCTCCCATTCCAGCTCTTCCTGTATCCTCTCTGCGAACCTTCCCCGCCATGGCACCCTCTGTGGTCATGTCTTTGGGATCCAGTCCCAGTGCCTTTATTCTGAATATTGAATGACTCTGCATCTTTCCTGACCTCTGTTTTTCTCTTTAAAAATTCTTTAAAATTGAGCCAGACATGGTGGTGCATGACTTTAATCCCAGCACTCTAGAGGCAGAGGTAGGTGGGTCTCTGAGTTTGAGGCCAACCTGTTCTACAGAGTGAGTTCCAGGACAGCCAGAGCTACACAGAGAAACCCTGTCTTGGAAAAGAAAAAATTTTTTTTTGTAATGAGTGGAGGATCACTGAATCTGGGGGGGGCGGTAGGGAAGGTGGAGGGGGGAACTAGGAGGAGTGGGGGGAGGGGAGGCTTCAGTCGGATGTATTGTATGAAAGAAGAATAAAAAATAGTTTTAATTAATTACTTTTAAAACATATTTATTTATTTAGTTAGTTTGTTTTGAGACAAGATTTCTCTGTGTAGCCCTGGCTGTCCTGGAACTTGCCCTGTAGACCAGGCTATCCTTGAACCCAGAGATCCACCTGCCTCTGCCTCCCAAGTGCTGGGATTAAAGACGTGTGTTATCACACTCAGCCTTTCTGAGTTTAAGGCCAGTCTGGTTTACGTAGTGAGTTCCAACCAGACTAGTACTGCATAGTAAGAATCTGTACCTAAGCCGGGCGGTGGGGGCGCACGCCTTTAATCCCAGCACTTGGGAGGCAGAGGCAGGTGGATCTCAGTGAGTTCAAGGCCAGCCTGGTCTACAAAGTAAGTTCCAGGACAGCCAGGCCTGTTACACAGAGAAACCCTAGCTCAAAAAAAAAAAAATTCTGTGTCTATGAATAAATGTAATAAAAAATTAAAACAAGATAGTATTAATGATAACAATAATAAAATCTAAAATTAATCGAAGATGAGCCTGGCTGCACTAGGTAGGTCAGGAAGGAGCTGAGAGAACATCTCTGCAAGGTCAGGAATAGTGGACACCTTTTGCATACTTCATTTTCTTTCATAAGAACTTTACCCAGCCCTCTGAGGTTTAGCATTCCTTTTTAGTTGGGGAAACTGAGGCTCAGAGAGGGTAAAGATAAGCCAAAGGCCACTCTACCAGGAGGGTCTGGAACTTGAACCCAGATGTAACTGGAAAGCCAACATTATTTCCCTCCCATCGTGGTATCAGAATTGGGAGTGAGAGAAAGAACCAGGGGCCAAAGGGGGAGCCTGGAAACTGTTACAGTGATGGGTTAGTAACTGTTTGCTTCTGTTTCTACAGCTATGGAGTCAAAATCCGGGCGCCTCATGCACTGGTCATGACCTTTCTCTTCAGGAGTGGCAGGTACCTACCCTCTCTGCATACCAACTGGGAGACAGTGTGGTCAGCCCTCAAGCCAGGATGGGTGTAGTAGTTTTCAAGCTAGGACTGACTTCCCCATTCCCCTGTGCTTCCTAAAGTCCAGCTCTGATCCTGTGTCCCCACTTGAAAATGCCTGTGGCTCCTCCCTATCCTCCGAAGAGACCCACCTACCAGGCCTGGCCTTCAAGGCCCTCTGCCGTGTGGTCACAGCTAAATCACTGCAGTGTCCAGTGTGAACTTCCTTGGCACACAGGCCCTGTCCCGTGCACAGACTTAGGCACTTCCAGTTCCACACATTTGCCTGTGCCTTGCCACTTCCAGGAGTGCCTGGCCTCTTCTGGCCAGGCTTCATTTCCTTCCTAGAAACCTGTCCAGTCCTCTGGGTCATATTCTCTGGGAACAGTCTCTGCTCTCTCCTCACCTGCTCCATGTTCTGACCTTCTTCTGAGTCCCTGTGACTAACTCTTCCCTCAAGGCCTTACTCAGAAAACTCCTTGCAGTCTAATGTTAATGGACACAGCTGCTGTTTCCAAGAATCGTACACACGGGTTGGAGAGATGGCGTCAGTGATTAAGAGCACTTGTTGCTTCTTCAGAGGACCCTTGTTCAGTTCCTAGCACTCACATGGCAGCTCCCAGTCATCTGTAACCCCAGTCCCAAGGACTCCAGCACCCCCTTCTGACCTCCTCAGGCACCAGGCACACATGGGATGCACAAACATGCAGGCAAAGCACTTATATGCATAAAATAAAAAATATGTAAATGAAAAAGTACCGTGCACAGAGGGTAGGTTAAGCCCAGTTGCAAGATTTCTATTTTGGCAGGTTTATTTGACTTATCTTGGTTGGGGCTTTTTGCCTTCCAAATATATCTTTTCCTTTCCCTTCCCTTCCCTCTCCTTCTCTTCTCCTCTTCCTTTCTCTCTTCAGAGCCAGGAACATAGTAGGCAAGCACACTGGCACCGAGCTGAATGCCAAGCACTTCCATATCTTTTTGTTTTGTTTTTGAGACAGGGTCCCAAATCATTCTTTAAAACCTGATCTTACTCATTCAGTCACCAAGTGTTTAGTGAACATCTACTGTGTGATACACACTGTTCTGGCTGCTAAAGATACAGGCAGTGAACAAAACAGGCAAGGGTTCCTGCCCTCCTAGGGCTTATCTTCTAGCAGGAGGTAGCAGAAAGTGAACATTAAAAATATCAGGGAAGTCAGGTAGTTGCGGTGCATGTCTTTAATTCCAGCACTTGGGAGGCAGAGGCAGGCAGATCTTTGAGTACGAGGCTACTCTGATCTACAAAGCAAGTTTCAGGACCGCCAGGACTACTCAGAGAAACCCTGTCTGGAAAAGCAAACAAACAAATCAAGGAAAAGAGTTCACAAGATCCTGAAGGCCAGGGAAGGGCCAGAGGTAGGGTTGATTGGGCCTGGTGAGTTTGAGAAGTTGGCCACCAAACTGTTGAAGGGGAAAGGGGATAGAGGGTCATAGCAGGAACTGGGTCAGGCCTGTCTGGCTCTAGGCCTGGAATAAGAGCTTGGTTTTCCTTTTTTTTCTTTTTCTTTTTTTTGGGGGGGTGTTGGTGGTGTTGGTGGTTCTTTTTCTTTCTTTTTTTTTTTCTTTTTTTTTTTTTTTTTGGTTTTTTCGAGACAGGGTTTCTCTGTGTAGCTTTGCTCCTTTCCTGGAACTTGCTTTGTAGACCAGGCTGGCCTTGAACTCACAGAGATCCGCCTGGCTCTGCCTCCCGAGTGCTGGGATTAAAGGCGTGTGCCACCACCGCCTGGCAGCTTTCCTTATAAGTGAGAACAGGAAACTAACATTTTTAGCAAGGGCATACCACTGTTTGACTTCCGGTAAGATTTTTTTTTAAGGATTTATTTTTAATTATATATCTCCAAATATGTGCCATGAGTACAGGTGCCCTTGGAGGCTAGAAGAGGGTGTTAGAGTCTTTGGAGCTGGAGGACAGGTGGTTATGAGCCACGTCACATGGGTGCTGGGAACTGAACTCAGGTACCCTGTAAGAGCAGTATGTGCTCTTAACCTTTGAGCCATCTCTTCAGCCCCTTTTGGGAGGCTTTGTATGATTTGTCTCCTTTTGCTTCTTGAGCTGAAGTCTTGTTATGTTGTCAGCCTGCCCTCCCCCTTCCGGGCTCAAGCCCGACCTCAGCCTCCCAAATAGCTGGGAATATAGGTGCCTGGCTTTACTTACGTCCAACAGCATGAAGATGAATCATTTGCTGCCTGGTTGAGAACAGCTTGGAGAGGAGGAGGGAATAACACAGGAGCAGAGTTGGTGTGTACATTAGCAAGAAGCCATGCAGTATCCTAGTGTGCTAGTCGAGATCTGGGTGGTGGCCAGGAGGACGGAGCAGTCAGATAGAGAGGTCTTGAAGTCAGTGCCAGTCACTTACTTACTTTTTTTGAGGGTTAGTTTTTTGTTTTTATTTTTGAGGCAGAGTCTCACTGTGTAGACTGGGATGGTCTCAAATTTACACGGGTCCACCTGTCTCTGCACTCCCAAGTGCTGGGATTAAAGGCAAGCAACACTATATCTGGCCTTACTTTTTATTTAACCTTTGAGACAGGGTCTTGCTTTGTAGCCCAGGCTGGTCTCCAACTCTCAGTCCTCCTGTTTCACCCAGGATTATAGGAATGTGCTGCCATGCCCAATTGCAATCCCACGCTCTTGCTTTAAAAATGTTACTCATAGGGGCTGGAGAGGTGGCTTAGTGGTTAAGAGCACTGGCTGCTCTTCCAGAGGTCCTGAGTTCAATTCCTAGCAACCAGGTGGTGGCTCACAACCATCTGTAATGAGATCTGGTGCCCTCTTCTGGCCTGCAGGGTTATGTGCACTGTATACATAATAAACAAATCTTTAAAAAAAAAAAAAAAGTTTAAAAATAAGTGTTACTCATAGCTGGACATGGTGGCACATTCCTTTAATTCCAGCACTCAGTAAGCAGAGGCTGGTAGATCTCTGAGTTCCAGACAGCCTAGTCTACATAGCGAGTTCTGGACATCCAGGGCTATATAAAAAGACCCTATCAAAAAACCAACCAACCAACCAACCAAGGTACTCATGGGACTCATGTTCTCAAAAGCCAAGAACCAGCTGCTTTGGACTTTTCCCACTCACCTGCCTGACTTCTACCATGCTCCCCTTCTCTCTCTCTCTCTCTCTCTCTCTCTCTCTCTCTCTCTCTCTCTCTCTCTCTCTCTGTGTGTGTGTGTGTGTGTGTTTTCAAGACAAGGTTTCTCTGTGTAACCCTGGCTGTCCTGGAACTCACTCTGTAGACCAGGCTGGCCTCAAATTCACAGAGATCCACCTGGCTCTGCCTCTTGAGTGCTGGGATTAAAAGTGTGCACCACCACTGTCCAGCACCACCATCCCCTTCCTATGGAGGGTCCTTGTCTAGAATTCAGAGATATACTGGTTATCATCGATGTGCCCTAGTGGGACTGTAGAGATGGCTTGGTCGTTGAGAGTGCTTTGCTGCTCTTACAGAGGACTGGAGTTCATTTCCCAGAACCCACACCCAACAGCTCACAACTGCCTGTAACTCCAGTTCCAGGGAATCTAATGCCCTCTTTTGGCCTCTGTGGGTACCCACAGACATGTGAGTGCACATACAGTCACACACTCACTCTCACACATACACTTACATGCTCTCGCATACACACACACTCATACACACATTCACACATATACTCACACACACGTACACTCATGCACTCTCACACATACACTCACACACTCATACATCCACATACACTCACACATTCACACACAGTCTCTCTCTCTCTCTCTCTCTCTCTCTCTCTCTCTCTCTCTCTCTCTCTCATACACACACACACACACACACACACACACACACACACACACACACTCACACACTCACACACTCCCCTTTAAGGAGAAGATGGATTGAATTAGCTCCTCTTCATCTCAAAAGGAAGACCAATCTCGGGTGCTGACCTCCTCACTGCCCTCCCTCCACACACAGCCTCTGATCAGAGCCCACACCGGCCTCTCTCCATTGCTTGGCTCCCTTTCTGTGCCTGTTCTTGGGGGCTCTGTTTATGGTAAGTCTTCTGCTTGGAAAGTAGCATGCTCCTCCCATGGATTCCTTTCCGTCCTTCAGATTCCAGGGCCCCCTCTTGTCCAAGCCAATGTCTGATTCTTGTCTTGGTGACTATGTTTCCTCATCATAAGCCCTACAAATGCAGAAAGCAGATGTATCATTTCTCAGAATTCTATCTGCAGATCCAGCTCATAGTAGGCACTCATTCATTTGTTCACTGTTCCCTCACCTCTCCCACTTGTTGAGCACCTACTGTGTGTCAGGCCCTGTTCTGTGCCCTTAGGATGAACTAGCAAAGTCTAGAGCCTGCTCTGCAGAAGCGTATACTGAGGACCAGGGAACTTTCTGCATCAGCTGTCAAATGTCAAATGGTGGTAGGAGCCCTGAAGGAAAAGACAAGTGAGGAGTGGGGTAGGTACTCACTAATGCTCGGTGTCAGCGAGTGACCCTCTGAGATGGTGACGCCGAGTTAAGGCCCCAGCGGAGCCCCTGAGGACATGGGCGCCCTCCACAGAGGGCCCCAGCTTTGTGCTCCTTGCCTAATTCCGATCTGTGTGTCCTCCGGGGAGAGCTGCCTGGACCAGCTGGGCCTGCACTCATGGGGCTTTCTGTTTGTACAGTCTCCAAGAGAAACTGCAGGCCATCCTGAAAGCCACATACACCCACTCTTGGAACCTGGCCTGGTTTGTGTTCACCTATAAGAGTCTCTGTGCCCTACAGTCCCATGTGCAAGGCGATACCCACCAGATGCACCCTTTCCTGGCAGCCTTCATCGGAGGCCTCCTGGTGTTTGGAAAGAACAATAACATCAATAGCCAGGTAAAGGCTTTCCTGAGATGGGACAGTGGGATGCCCTTTAATTGAGGGGTGAGGGTGAAGATAAACTCTTGACTGCTGTCTGTGTCTGAGGTCTAAGAATCACTGGTCCCTGGGTGACCTCTCAGTTTTCCCATTTGTAAACCAAGCCACATTTGGAATGCCAGGGCTCCCCGCCTCAGTGTGTCTGCTGCTCTTTGGGGCAAGGATTTGGGTGGTGGTGGTGGTGGTTGAGACAGGTTTCATCTTGTTCAGGCAGGCCTTGAGCTTGCTATGTAGCTGAGGCTTGCCTTGAATTCCTGATATTCTTGCCTCATCCCAAGTGCTGAGATTACACATGCATCAATAATTTGGTGGTGCAATGATTTTTTAAAATTATTTTTTTTATGTGTGTGTGTGTCTATGTGCATGTGCACCTGTGTGGGGGTGTCTGTGGAGGTCTGAAAAGGGTGTTATCTCTTCTGGAGCTAGAGTTACAGGTACTTAAGTGCTACCCTATGTGTGTGCTAGGAATCTAACTCCATTCTGTACAAGAGCAGCAAATGCTCTTAACTGCTGAGCTGTCTCTCCAGCTTAAGATTATTTTTTAAATGCACTTTGACCTGGGTGTGGTGGTACACTGAGAGACTAAGATACTGATCTGAAGCCAGCCTGGGCTACATCTCAAAACAAACAAGTGGAACTCAGTGAAATAGAATAAAGGGAATCAAAAGAGAAGAGCTGCTTCTTTGAAAAGATGAACAGAATCAGGAAACCTCTACCCCAGGATCCCCTATAAAGATCTTTACTGATACTGGAAATGACAAGGGTTATGTTTAATGTCTTGTGTATGTTAAAAGCCCTTGAGGAGACCCAGCACTTAGGAGACAAGGGTAGGAGGATCTCAAGGCCAGCCTGGTCTGCATAGTGAGTTCCAGGACAGCCAGGGCTACATAGAGAGACCTTGTCTCAATACATACATACATACATACATACATACATACATACATACATACAAGCACTCCCACACACATAAACACAAGCCCAAGGCCTGTGAGGTAAAGTTGCCTGCCTTTAAGTCTGACAACTTAATTTGGTCACTAGGATCCACATGGTGGAAAGAGAAAAAGTCCCCAAGGATTTCCTCTGACCTTTTCATATGTGCTATGACGTATGTGCCCTGCACCCCCTAAAATACAATAATAATAAATGAAATGTAGATTTTTAAAAGATCTTGATTACCATGGAAAACTATGACTAATTCTATTTTTACAAACTTGGTAGCTGATATGAAATAGACCAATTCTTTGAGAAGAAAAAAATCTGCCTGGGTTACATGGGAAGGAAATCATGGCTCTTTCTTTCTTTTAAAACAAATTATTCTTCTTTTATGTGCCTAAGTATTTGCCCGCATGTACGTGTGTGCACCATATGCATGCCTGGTGCCTGGGGAAGCCAGAAGAGCATGTTGGATCCCCTGGAACAGGAGTTACAGATGGTTGTGAGCCACCATGTGGATGCTGGGAACCAAACCGGGCTCCTCTGCAAGAGCAGCAAATGCTCTTAACCGCTGAGCCATCCCTCCAGCCCCTTCTTCCATTTTTTTGAGAGAGTCTCATGTTTCCCAAGCTGAGGCTGGCCTTGAACTCCTGCTGCCAGGGTTTGGATTGTAGTTGTGTACCACCACAACCAGTTTTTTTTTTTTTCTTACTGTGTCTTGCTCTGTAGCCTAAGATAGCCTTGAGTCTTGGCATTTCTCCCTGATTCTCCAGAGCACTAGAATTAGAGTTATGTATGGCCACCCTGGCTTAATTTTTTCCTTTTACTCCTAAGTAATATAGAAGTACCATCAGTGGTTTTTTGTTGTTGTTGTTTTGTTTTTGTTTTTTGTTTTTTCATCCTTTGAAGGACATTTGGGCAGTTTCTAGCTTTGGGGTATTACAAGTAGAGCTGTGAAGAACACTCTTGTACAGATACTTCTGTGAACATAAGTTTTCATTTTTCTGGGATAAAAGCCCAAGAGTGTAATTGTGGGTTGTATGGTACATGCATGCTTGGTTTTAAAACAACCTGCCAAAAAAGAAGAAAGAAAAAACTCAACAACCTTCTGCCAAGCTGTTTTCCAGAGTGACTAGCGTTTTTTTACATTCTCACCACAAATATATGAATGTCTAGTTTCTCCACATCCGAGCTAACATTCAGTTTGTTGCATGAATTATTTTATCTGTGTTTTAAAGGTTTTGTGTGTGTGTGTGTGTGTGTGTGTGTGTGTGTGTGTGTGTGTGTGTGTGACATGATTATAAGTGCAGGTGTGCACCTGCCATGGTGTATGTGTGTGGATCAGAGGACAGCTCTTAGGAGTTGGTTCTCTCCTTTCACTGTGGACCCTGGGGATTGAACCCGAGTTGTTAGATTTTTGCTGCAAGTACCCTCAACCCCTAAACGATCTCACCAGCCCTGTATTAGCCATTGTGACAGTACATCTCATTGTGACTTTACTTTGCCTTTCCCTGACGGCTAATGATGTTGAAATTTTCCTCATTATCATTTATTTGCTACCTCTACAACCTCTTTGGTGAAACATTCATGTTTTTTGCTCATTTTCCAGTTGGGATATTTCATGTTTTACTTTTGAGCTCTGAGGACATCTTTCAGATCATCTACATGTTGATGCCTTGCAGATATGCATTGTGATTGTCTCTCATCTGTAGCTTTTCCGTCTCGGAGATGAGGTCTTGCCATGTAGCCCCAACTGGCCTGGAATTTATTATGTACACCCAGCTGGCTTCACAAAGAAAAAAAATGAATTTCAAGAAGATCCAGAATATTATTTTTCCTCTTATAGATCATTTTTTAAAAATTTTTGAACTGTGTATAATTCATTTTAAAAACTTCTAATAAGGGAGACAGGCATAGTGGTGTATGCCTTTAATCCCAGCACTTGGAGACAGAGACAGGAGGATTGCTGTGAATTTTAGGCCAGCTTGGTCTACTTAGTGAGTTCCAGGTCAGCCAGGACTACATAGTGATACTGTGTCTCCAAAACAAAACAAAACAAAACAAAAAGCACAACTTTTTGTTTGTTTGTTTCTTCGTTTTTCGAAACAGAGTTCCTCTGTGTAGTTTTGGTGCCTGTCCTGGATCTTGCTCTGTAGACCAGGCTGGCCTCGAACTCACAGAGATCCACCTGGCTCTGCCTCCGGAGTGCTGGGATCAAAGGAATGTGCCACCACCGCCCGGCTGCACAACTTCTAATAAGGAGATGGAGAGGTAGTGCTCTTGGCAAAGTGCTTATGAAGCAAAGCGAAGACTTGACTTCTCTCCCCAAAACCCACATAGAAAGCTAACCATGTACTATGGTATTTGTAATCCTAGTGCTGGGGAGGTGGATAAGGAGGGTGCCTGGGCTTTCTGGCACCAACCACTCTATCCAAATAGGGGAGCTCCAGGGTATGAGAGACCTTGTTTCAAAAATAAAAAATGTAAAAACCAAAATGGATGGTTTCTGAGGAACAACACTTAATAGTGTTCTCTGGCTTATACACACACACAGACACACAGCGTAAATAAATAATAAGTATTATTACTATTTTTTTAAAGCCAGGCACTGAAGCATCTGTCTGTAATCCCAGTATTTGGGAGGTAAAGAGAGGTAGATCCCTGGAACTCTATAGTCAGCTAGCAGAGCCAAATTGGTACACTCCATGTTGAGTGAAAGACTCTTGTCTCAACCAATCAGGTAGAGGGCAGGATGGATCTGTAGCTCAAAGATTAAGAGTGCGTTTAAATCTTTAAAGAGAGAAAACATTCATAAATTGAAAGATTTCTTTGTGGCGGTGTTGTTAAGACAGGGTCTCTCTGCACAGCCCCAGCCGTCCTGGACGTCACTATGTAGACCAGGCTGGCCTTAGACTCACAGAGATCTACCTGACTGTGCCTCCAGAGTGCTGGGATTAAAGACTTAAAGGCCTGAAGGTGTGAAGGCATAAACTGAGAGATTTATTAAGACATTGGGTTTTTTTTTTTAATTATACTATTTGTCAACTTGACACAAGGAGGGAAAAAGAAATCAGGCTAGAGCCGGGCAGGGCGGCGCACGCCTTTGATCCCTGCCTTCAGAGCCAGGCGGATCTCTGTGAGTTCCAGGCCAGCCTGGTCTCCAAAGCGAGCTCCAGGAAAGCTACATAGTAGGGAGATCCTATCTCCAAACAACAAGAACAGCACAAATAGTTAGGGTACAGAGGGAACTGAGAAAGACCCCCAAAGTCAGTCAGTCTCTGGTCTCCATACCCACATGTGCGCAAGCACCCAGCACACACGCGGGGATTCACCTCCACAAACACATGCACCACACACACATAAATAGAAATGGTAAGTTGTCTGCTGCACACCACCTCAGTCATCTTGTACGTTAACTTTGAAAATCACACAGCCAGTGCACAGTAATGCCCAGTACCCAGAGTTGGTGGGCAGGTGAAGGTTGCCTGTGGCCATGCGGACTAGTAATCTTCGGCATTCCCTCCTGCAGATCAACATGTACCTGACGTCACGCGTCCTGTTTGCCTTGTGCCGCCTGGGTGTGGAGAAGGGCTACCTCCCTAAGCTCAAGTGGGACCCGTTCCCCTTGCACACGGCAGTGATTTGGGGGCTTGTGCTGTGGCTCTTCGAGTATCACCGGCCCACTCTGCAGCCCTCACTCCAGTCCTCCATGACCTACCTCTACGAGGACAGCAACATGTGGCATGACATCTCAGACTTCCTCATCTTCAACAAGAGCCGCCCCTCCAAGTAACACAGCCCACGGTGCTTAAGGAACGCCTCTGCCCAGACAGCTTCCGGCAGTGTCCAACTGCTGCCCAGAGTATGGTTCTGTCAGCACACTGTCGTGGAGGATCCTGCCTTCTCAAAGTCATGGACCTCACACTCCAACTTGTTTTATCCCAGCCAGGGTTCCATTTGCTGAAGGAAAAGCCCTGAGTGTGCACCTGCCAGGTACTTTTGAATAGTCTTTGTAGCAAGTGGTGCATTAAGGAGTCTGGGGCTTGACTTCCGCTGCTTCTCTGACTGGGTCTCAGGGCATTCAGTTCAGGGGAGGCCCCTTAGAGAAGAGTTTCTTTCTGGTGGGTATGATAGCCTTCCCCTGTGCTGTGTATCAGAGGGCTCTTTGCTAGTGGGCAACAGGTTACAAATACCTTGGGAAAAAAAAAACTACACTAAACCCTTTGTGTAAGGTGTTCTGTTGAGAAGTTCAGGAGCCCCATTGTCCAATAGAAACACAACGTTATGAGTTTTCAAAAGCTGGAGGTATAGCTTAGAGGGACAGCACTTGCCAAGCTTGTGCGAGACCCTGGATCTATCCTCTGCACTGGAAATAAAACTTCTAGTGCCGGGCGGTGGTGGTGCACGCCTTTAATCCCAGCACTCGGGAGGCAGAGGCAGGCCGATCTCTGTGAGTTCGAGGCCAGCCTGGTCTACAGCGCGAGATCCAGGACAGGCTCCAAAGCTACACAGAGAAACCCTGTCTCCAAAACAAAACAAAACAAAAAAAAACTTCTAGTGAGCACATTTTTAAAAAGTATTAAGAAGCCTGCAGCAGTAGGTTGTGAGTTCCAGGCCAGCCTGGGATACATAAGAGAACTCTATCTCAAAACAATGAAGGACCAGGGAGATGGCTTGATGAGTAAAGACGCCTGCTGCCTGGTGACCTGCGTTTAACGCCTGTGTTCTACATGGTGACATGTGGGAGGAGAGAATCAGCACGTTGTCCTCTAACTGCCACATGTGTGCCTTGGCATGTATGTGTGCTTGCACACACACACACACACACACACACACACACACACACACACACACACAAACACGCACATATACAATAAATAAAATGTAATAAATTTTTTTTAAAGAACATGTAACGTGTAAGATAAATCTTAACAATACATTTTGCCTGCATGTATGTCTGTGCACCGTGTGTGTGCCTGGTACCAGCAGAAGTCAGAAGAGGGTGCTAGATCCCTTGGAACTGAAGGAATGGATGTTGTGAGCCACCATGTGGATGCTGGAATTGAACCCTGGTCCTCTGCAAGAACACTAAGTGCTTTGTTTATTTGTCTGTTTTTCAAGACAAGGTTTCTCTGGGTAGCCCATGCTGTCCTAGAACTCACTCTGTAGACCAGGCTGGCCTCAAACTCAGAGATCCACCTGCTTCTGCCTCCTGAGTGCTGGGACTAAAGGCATGTGCCACTAAGTGCTCTTAACCACTAAGCCTCTCCCCAGCCTCTGATTGTAATCATAAATTTTAACTTAATATTTCCAAAACCTTTTCATTGCAACATATATTAATATAAAGGATTGATGACAGTTTTTCTCGTGTTATGTCTTCAATGCTGGCAGTGTGTTTTACTTGTATCAAGTAACACATCACAGAAGATTCCAGTAGACACTGAAAATCTAGAACTAAACACATGGTCTGAGTCCAGCACCACCTCTGGGATCCATCCTGGGAGAAGGCTCTCCATCTCTCAGCACTTCAGGGTCTCATGGATGAGGATAAGCACAGTGGTCCAGTCCACACTGGACTCTTGACACTGCTGCCACTCCCACCAGTACTTCCGCAGAGCACGCTTCTGCTTCCGCCTGATGCTTTGCACAGCACTGCTTCTAGTGCATATAGTCAAGGGTGTGTGTTGATCCGTGTTTTCCAGATGTGGAAACTGAGGATCAGGGAGGAGGTAATCTGTCCCAGGTACCGTGGCTGCTATGATAGAGCCACGTCATAATTTGAGCCATCTGCCTGATTTTGAAGCCCATGTTTTGTTTTTTCAGTGCCTTGCTTTGAACCTAGAAAACCTCAGCCATGCTTTGTAATCGTTAGTTATAGGATACGGTGTCGGAAACCAACCCAGACGCATACAGGAACTCTTGGTGGCGTAAATGGAACTTCTTGAGGTGCTATGTCATAGGGGGAAGTGGGCCACAGTGAACTGGAGAGTTGTGTGGCAGGCAGAATTTAAAAAACAAAACAAACAAACAAAAAAAACAACTCTGAGAAAAGCCTGGTCCAGAAGCTACCAACCTGAGACCCTTGGTTTAGGGCGATACGTTACTTATGACGCGCCCTCCCATTCTGTCTTTTTATGTGTTTGAAATGACTAGTAGAAATCTACATGAGTCACTGGAGAGCTTATAGCCTGTAGATTCTGGCTAGGCGTGGAGACACCCGCCTGTATTCCCAGCACCTGGGAGGCAGAGGAAAGAGGATGGGAGTTCAAGGTTATACTCTGCTACATAAAAAGTTGGAAACCAGTCTAGACCGTGTGAGGCCCTATCTCAAGAACAAACAAACGACAAATGGACACAATCCAATTCTGATCCAGGGGTGTGGAATGGGTCCAAGAGTCTGACTGTCCTACAAGTTCCTCATGCTGGGGGTGCTGTGCTATGAGCCCCAGCCTGAGTGCTGAAGGAGTGCTGAATGGCAGGTCCAAGGATTGTTATCCTAGGTAGCTCTGGGGTAGTGGAGGTGGCTTTTGTCTGACTCCCTGCTCTCAGCTGCGGCTCAGAGCTGACCATTTGGAAGAGCTTTTTACTGGGCTTGCACTGGAGGACGAACAAACTCGAGCCTGTGGCGAGGCCGACCATTGCCAGGCAGGTTTATTTTAGCAGCTGGTGGGGAGCCCTGCCGTTCTATCTCTGTGCACACCCGACTCCTCCAGCTGCCACTCCTGTGTCTCCCTCTCTGAGGACTGCCACCACTGGTGCCTGCTTTACCACTCTACAGCAGGCGTGAAGTTTTAGGGATTAACATGCCCCTTGAGCAGCATTAACCCAGCACCGAGAAATACCATCATAAGCAGCTCCCAGCCCTTGGAGGAGATACCCCTCCATACACTCTGGGCTGCTCGCTAGAGCTCCAAAAGGATTGGGCTCCAGATGCCCGTGGTGAAAACTATCTCCCTCATGCCTCGGCAATTGCATCCTGGGACCACTTCAACCCATTTAAACCACTTGCACTCAAATCCTCACCTTGGGGTTTGTTATCAGGGAAACCCAAACTAAAATTGGCCACTGGTCAGCAGGCTGAGAGGCAGTATACATGCTTGTAAGGGACGAGGGCTTTGGAACTAGCATGCCCAGGCTCGAGGCCTGACCTATTAATGACGTAGCCATCTGTGCCTCATCTATAAAGGAGGCGGCATTGTGATAACACACACCTCGTGGTATCTGAAGGGATTAAGTGGGACACGTAAAAGGAGCATTCAATAAATATTGCTCTTATTTCCAATAGAACAAATGCAGGAGGAAGCTGGTTGTAAGAAATAAGTGTGCCCTGTGTTTAGCCTGCCCTTCTCCCCAGCAGCCTTGGCCTCCTGCCCTGACATCCCCCCTCCACTGCTGGGGGTGGACGGCTCCACCACTGACTGGCTCTGCTCTCTAAGAATAGGCTTCCCTCGCAGATGGCATCTCTCTGGATCTTGCCAGAGCATCTGGTGCCTCCAACTGCACACTCCAGGGAGGAAGGCGGGGTGGTCCCCACAGAGAGGAGCAGAGCCTGTCTTCAGCAGCTTTGGGAAGAGCCCAGCTTCACTCCTTCCTAGCTGAGCCTCCATTTTTATGATCTGTATGTAGGGATTGCCAAAGGTCCATTGGCACATGGGGCCGAGCTACTGCCGTTCCTGAATGTGACTTCCTGAAACATCGTAGTAGATTGATCTGCAGTTACTGCCTGCTACATTTGTACGGAGCCTTTTGACATGCAATACTTAAAAAAAAAAAATCTTATTATTTAATTAACTTTCTCCCTTTGTGGGGGTCTTAGTTTTGTTTTCTTAAGACAGGGTATCATGTAGCCCAGGCTAGCCTTGAACTCAATATTCAACTGAGGCTAGTCTCGAATTCCTGATCCTTCTGCTTCCACCTCCTGAATGCTGGGATTACAGGTATGCATCATCATGCATGGGCTTTTTTTTTTTTTTTTTTTTGAGACAGTCTCTATAGCCAGGCTGTAACTGAGAGTTTTCCTGTGCCCCACCTGGTCTGCAGCCGCTCAGACCCAAGTAAACACACAGAGGCTTATATTAATTAATTAATTAATTAATTAATTAATTTAATTAATTAAAACTGCTTCGCCATTAGCTCAGGCTAACAACTGACTAGCTCTTACACTTAAACTCAGCCCATTTCTGTTACTCTATGATGCCATGTGTTCCATGGCTTTACCTGTGTGCCGTTATATGCTGCTTCCTGGACAGTGTGCTGGCATCTGCTGACTCAGCCTTCCTCTTCCCAGATCAGTGTTTATTAAACCAGTGTACAAAAGCATTATCCCACAGCACTGGGCTAACCTGCAACTCACTGTATAGCCTAAGATAGGCGTGGGGGTGTATTCCTGTACATTCCTATAATCCTCACTTTTCAGTCAGGAGCCAGCACTACATGAGAGACCTTGTCTCAAAAAGTCTCTCTCTCTCTCTTAGTATAAAGGGGTTGCACTCATTTAATCCCAGCACTTGGGAGCCAGTGACAGGCCCATGAGTTTGGAGACCAGCCTGATCTCCACAGTAAGTTCCAGGCCGGGCAGGGCTACATAATGAGACCCTGTCTCAGACAAAACAAACCATCAAGCTGTATAACAGGGGAAAAGCCAGAGCCTCTCCTGTACCTGAGCTCAGTCCTGAGTACCAGGGAACCCGCTATAAGAATACCTACCCTACTCTCTGCGTGGGCATGCATGTGTGTGTGTATGTGTGTGAGTGTGTGGCGGTCAGAGGCCTACTTTAGGTGTCTACCTCAGTTGCTCTCCACTTTATTTTTGAGGTGGGGCTTCTCATTCTTCAGGAAGCAGGAGCTCAGGAGTTCAGCTAGGTTAGCTGGCCAGTGAGCTCCAGGCTTCTCCGCCTCTTCTCCGTAGTGCAGGGATCACAGACACATGCTACCATGCCTGGCATTTACATGGATGCTGGAGAGCCAGACTCTGGACCTCATGCTTACATGACAAGCTCCTGACAGACTGAGCCATCCCTTTCCTGCTTTGCTCCGCCCCTGTCTTCTAGCACTTTCCGAACTGCACAGCCTTCTGTGTGTCCTACGTACGGCCACTTCTCCTAGTCTATGAGTAAACCTTTATTTTGCATTTATCTTGACTCTTGACATTGATCCTCACATGTGTGTTTGGCTTCTTTCTGATTAGTATTCTAGCTGGGTGGTGGGTGGCACATGCCTTTAATCCAAGCAACTGGGAGGCAGAGGCCAGTGAATCTCTGTGAGTCTGAGGCCAGCCTGGTCTACAGAGTGAGATCCAGGACAGCCGGGACTACACAGTGAAACTGTCTCAAAAACAACAACAAGAAAATATTCTACATAAAGTGAGCCTTTGAGGGGCTGGAGAGACGACTCAGTGGTTGAAAGCACTGGCTGCTCTTCCAGAGGACCCAGGTTGATTTGCAGCCTCCACATGACAGCACACAACTGTTACTTCAATTCCAGGGCATGCAACACCTTCTTCTGGCCCTCTCAGGTACTACATGCACATGGTATACAGACATAAAAGCAGGCATAATATCTCTACATATAAAACACATACCCATATAAAATAAAGATTTTTTTTTTTTTCTATCAGGTACCATATTTGTGTCTGTGGGCCGTGTTGTCCCAGAAACCATGTTGATGTCCTTGACATGTGCTACCACCAAGGGCTATGATGTTGTCCATGGCCTGTGCTGTGGCAGAGGGCCATGTTGATGTCCGTGGTCTGTACTACCACAGAAGACCGTGCTGAGGTCTGTGGCATGTGCTGAGTACAGACACCATGTGGATGTCCATGGTCCCTGCTGTTACAGGAAACCACATGGAAGTCCATGATCCATGCTCCCATTGACTGTAAAGGGCAAGGAAGCTACCTCTGCGATGGTATCGATGACTACAGACTCACAGTTGAGAAAGAGGGACATTGAAAACTTCTGTGACAACCTTTTCTCCCCACCCCACCCCTCAAAAAAAGAAACAGCTTAGACAGAAAGCCATCCAAGAGAACTCTTAAAAATTGTGATAAGATGCCGGGCGGTGGTGGCGCATGCCTTTAATCCCAGCACTCGGGAAGCAGAGGCAGGCGGATCTCTGTGAGTTCGAGGCCAGCCTGGGCTACCAAGTGAGTTCCAGGAAAGGCGCAAAGCTACACAGAGAAACCCTGTCTCAAAAACAAAAAAAAAAAAACAAAAAAAAAAAAATTGTGATAAGGATCTGAAGTGTAGCTCTCCACAATTGATGACTTCTTTGAGCCGTTTGGGTGGGAAAGGACACAGTTTTTGTTTTTGTTTGTTTGGTTGGTTTTGGTTCTTCAAGACAGGGTTTCTCTGTGTAACATT